AGTGCAAGTTCTTTCAGATCCCTATATGAGGACTATACATGGATTCCAGAGTCTGATCCAGAAAGAATGGGTAGCAGCTGGCCATCCTTTCCTGCAGCGTCTCAATGTACTTCAGAAAAATGACCAGGATGAGGTCAGTTTGTTTTATGAGCTAGGATGAAATTGTGCCTTTAGCTATTTGAAATAAAATGTTTATATGTAAAATAAAATGAGAGTTGTTTTGGTGTAGTGGTTGAAGTGCTGGCCTAAAAACCAGGAAACTGAGTTCTAGGCCTCTCTTAGGCATGAAAGCCAGCTGAGCGACTTTAGGCGGTTACTCACTCAGTCCTACCCACCTCACAGGACTGGTGGTGTAGGAAAAATAGGAGGCAGGAATATCAGGTATGTATTCAGCCTTCAGTGGACCAATCAATTAATAAAACAGGATAAAAATCTAATGAAAATAAATGAAATGGATTTGCAAGGAACCCAAAGAATGGAAGAAGGGATAGCCTGAATCACTTTCTGCCTTTAAAAAAACATGGTGTTAACATCCACTATTAAGCATTCATTTTACTTTAATTCATCCTCTTTTCAGAAAAGAAGTTAAATGCAAAAAAGAGATAAGGATTGGGGGGGGGGGAATCACTTCACTGTTTAATCTGTTGTAATTCTTTTTTTTTTTTTTTTTTTTTGTAGTCACCAATATTTTTCCTGTTCCTGGATTCCATATGGCAACTGCTGCAGCAGTTCCCACAATCTTTTGAGTTTACAGAGGCCTACTTGATGGCCATATATGATAGCTGCTTCATTCCATTTTCTAGCACTTTCCTATTCAACTGCCAGTGGGAACGAAATCGAAAGAATCAGGTGAGCCAAGACTGGCAGTTGTGAAAAATAATGGAATTAAGATTGTTGTCCTAATTCCTTGAATATTAAAATCTATGAAAACAGGGGAGAGAAACATATATTGGAAATGATTAGTTTCTCTTTCTTTGTATCCAGAATCATTTTCTCAATCAAATTTACACTCCTATCAATGGCTGGCAAGAAAATCTCTGCTTAGAAATCCTGCAAAAAGGAGGCTATTCTGTCAAGAATGTAGGGCACACAAATTTGTCTACAGTTTGGAACTGGCTACTCAGATCCAACCCCTGGCAGACAGCACAGTTCAGGAACCCCTGGTACAATGAGAACAACTTCAACAATGGAGGCACTTTTAACAAAAAAATCCTACTCACAAATGATGACAAGGTGCGTATTAATAAACATAAGGTGTTATTTTTTAACATTTGGCTTGCTAGATTCAAAGCCAAGTTTCTTTTCTACATTCTTTTTCCTCTAGATGGAAAATATTTCAGAAAAATGGACCTTGTACATTTTTTCAAAAGGCTCCCTCAGTTTGCAAACCCACATTTTTCCTTGGAAAAATGGGACCCTCTCCAAAAAGTGTTTTCATCGTGTTCAGGCACTGGAGACTTCTAGAGAACAAGAAAAGTCTTGGAAGGCCAAATCCAATGGCAGCTTCATTTATCATAATGATTTGCTGCTTCTCCCATCATATATAGGGACTTCAATACGTTTATGGAAAAGGTGTTATCTTCGGGGGAATCCAGAAGTTCAGGTACAAAAAAACCCCAATAGAAAAAAGCCTCAGCTGAAATAAATTGCCAAATATAGCTTTTGAACTGTATATATATATATATTGATGGAGTCTGTAAAAGCCTGTTCAGCATCTCATCTTTACTGCCTTGGTTTCAAACATTGCACAGTAATTAAAATTATTTTTCAAGTGGGCAGTGCTATTAATCTGCATTGTTCCTAAATTTTAACCCATTCACTTGTATGCCAAAAGCAAATAAAATCTAAACATGCACAAAGGCCTCAAACATCTTGCATAATGTTAAAAAATGACAGGCGTGTGCTGCAGGAATCATTTGTGTTCTCTTCTTGCACTTGCACACTATGTCTTGGTGCCACCCAGAATCTGCTCCAGACACATATGTTCTCCTCCTATCCTCTGGCTCAGCAGATGAACCAATTTATTTCTGGTTCGGCCTTGATGTATATGAAAATTATTTATTAAAGGTTATACACTGCCTACTCTTCTGATTCTGGTGAAGTGGAGATACGGTAAAAGTGTCCATTCCATTTGAAACAGTGAAGCTCCAAAGAGTTTGTGGACAAACCATTGCTCTTGCTTCATACTGCTTCCTGGCAAGATTTTTCTTCAGCAGTTCCCCCATAGAAACTGCTCTATGGGTAACAATTCCCCCAACCCCAAAAAATGTTGGTGGGAGAGGAAATACTATCATCTTTTTTTTTTTTGTTGTTGTATTTGGTTGGGATAAAGGGATTTTTGAAGAAGTCAAGAACAGGCCTAGCAGCATCCTCAATTGTGGAAAATATTTTAAAGTAGATTTTCTCTCTTATGAAATTTCAAACTGCAGAAATTTGGATGCAGTATTGGATTAAAAGCATATTTCTAGAAATCCTTCTTGTTACATCCTCTTGGTGAAGAATTTGTGTCCTGTATTGTTGAACACATACATGGAGTATAAGTGCAAAAGATGATTTAAAATGGCATATATAGTAGTAGCAGCAACTATTTTATAACTTGAGTTTTTAATATCAATGTATGTCACCCTTCAGGTTGGCCTCTTTGCTTCCAACATTGTTAAACTCACTGAAGAGCTGGATCTTCTTCAAAAGCGACTAACCTATTTGCAAGCAAGAGGAAGCTGTAGCATAACTCTGGAAAATGCGTAAGAAGGCCACAACAGCTCATTAAAAATACACAGGGCTTCCTGAACGTTATATATTGCTTCTCCTTCATATGAAAACAACCACAACAAGCTAGGTTTTAGAAACTTCTTAAATGAGGCATTGTACTTTCTATATTCCATGAATAGTTTTCTAAAATGAACATCCTTCCAAATGAACTAATGTTCTTATGCTACAAAGACAATGGCATGCTATATATTTACAGCCCTGGAATACAGAAAAAGATTAATAGGAACTTTTCTTCTTATTGCCTGCGGTAATAAAGGTAACCTGTAAATGTATTAATTGTTAAGTAGCATCAAAAGCTGACCATACATTCAGTAGACAGAAATCATCAACCCTGGAGCCACAGACTCAACATGCATGATACACTGGTGCACAAAAACGTAATCCTTTTAGCTTCCCTCTTCATATATCAAGTTTACTGTTTATTCACTCAATGTGTTCTATCCGCTCTATGTGTGTGTATATATGTATTGTATATGCAAGTTTGTGTGTATGTAATCTTCCATATCTCTATAGAGACAAACGTTTGCCATAACTTCAATTTTATACTATTTCATAAGCTTTGGTTCAGAAGCCTTAACAGCAAACAGTAAATTGCCAATTTTAAGCTAATGGCTTTTTAAATAAAATAAAAAATTTTGTAAACATCATACACCCAAACTGTTGTTAAGGATATTTGTGCATTTGATGAAACGGGGGTTGTTTTTCTCCCTTTGTCACAATGTTACAAGGTGTTGTGGCCCACCAGTGGCCTGCGCAGATCGTGGCTGATCCCGATGAAGAGGAGACTGGTGTAGCGTCGCGCCAGCAGCCTGCACAGCCAGCGCTCACGTCAGACAGCGAGGAGGCTGAAGAGGATGTGGTGACAGAGGCAGAGACTCAGCCAGGGCCTTCAGAACCTCCAGAGATTTTTTCAAGTGGAGAAAGCGAAGTGGAGGAGCCTCTCCTCAATGCTCAAGCATGCAGGGCTGCCAAAAGGCAGGAGCGGCTACTCAGGAGGAGGTCTACTCGAGAGTAGGGATTGAGGATAATTGGCCACTCCCTTAGCCTATTTAAGTCGCACGCAGCTAGTGCTTTTTTGCTGGAAAACAACTCGTATTTATAATCAGAGTATTTTGGTTTATCATATCTTGCTTTCTGGGCTGGTTGCCAACCTTTGCCGGTCTTGTTTATTCTTGCTACTTAATAAATTTGATAAGGACCGTTGGTGTGTGTCAATATCCTCGGAAATCCAGAGCTGGGACAGAACACAAGGACGAATTGGCTTCCCACAACCACAACAGACCTTTATGCAAATTTTCAAACTGCAATCCGGAGTATATAGGAGACACCATTATTTCATACTCACTTCATTTGTTTGCATGTGTGCTATATACCAGCGGTCACCAGCAGGTGGTCCATGGACCACTGGTGGTCTGCAAGAAAATTTTGGTGGTCTGCAGAAAAATTATTTGCATTTTTTATATTGCACTAAATCAGGGGTCCTCAAACTATGGCCCCTGGGCCGGATACGTGCAATGAACATTTGTGTTGCTGCAGAGAGTCTCCCCCTTCGGGGTCTTTGGAGGGGGGGCAGAAATTCCAACTTGGAGTCTGCTTCAGCCTCCTGGTGTGGGACTCTGGGCGAAGGCTGGAGGGAAGCACCGCTGGTGGCGAAGAGCTGGAGGGCGTCATTCCAGTGGGATTGCATCATGGCCTGCAACTGGCTGACCATTTCAACCCACTGAGCCTCCAGGTGCCAGTACCTGGCCTTGCACTCCCACAGGTTTTCCCTCTTCTTTGAAAGCCTATGCTCATAATCCTCAGTGAGGTGTTTCTACTGAGCCTCCTTCTCGGTCAGATCCAATTTGAACTGAGCTGTTTTGCCAACTCTTTCTTGTGGCTGCTTAGCTCCAACAACTGCTTCCTGTTGGGGCCCTAGGGAGCCCAGGCGGGGAGGCGAGGAGGGGCTGGGAGGAGAGGGGCGAGTTGAGGCCAGCAAGGCACCGCTCCACACGAGTGACATCAAGTTGGCCATGCCCACCCAGTCACATGACCACCTAGCCACACCCACCCAGCGGGTCATTAGGCAGATCATGTTAGTGGTCCGCGGGATTTAAAATTATGAATTGAGTGGTCCCTGAGGTCCGAAAGGTTGGTGACCCCTGCTATATACACCTTTTGCTATTTACTTTGCCTTTCTTCTCAGCTAGACCAAAAATAAAAGAAAGAGCAAAGCTTGTTTCACCCACCTTGGGCTAAATCACGTTTGCTGCCTGAAGTTGCCTTTCTTAACCAGCTTTTGAAGCAACTGCACAGTCTTCATCCCCTCTGCCAGTGGCTTTTCCTTGGCCAGACTGGTATTGTACAAACACATTGAGCTGGAAAAAAAAAGTAAAGGGTTACTATCTATATAAAGGCCTGCCATAGGAGTATTTGGGGTCTAAATAAAACTCTCTGCCGATTTAGCACGAAGCAGATAGGCCACCTGCCCCTCCTAGACATGTTTGCCTGAAAATTCCGATTTAAATCTCTACCCCGTTCCCTGAGGGGGGTCCAGACCTTCCTTCCCTTTGCTCAGCCAGGCCATTCTCTCAGCCACACTCTGCCTATGCTCAGAAGCATCTCCTACTCTATCCAAACTTCAATGTGCGGGGAAGCAATTACTTTGCATTTTCTTCCCTGCCTGACAATCCCGAGGAGGCCGAGACGACGGCGGTAAGACCACAGGACCCATCATTCCCAGTCCCTGGCTTATTCCTACCCTTGCTGAGTCTCGAGCACCTCGCGAGCCCAAACACGGCCTGGCTAGAAGAGACAGAGGCGCCAATGGCTGCCATTCTATTTGGAGCAGAGGCTCCCACAAAACTTAGTTACTCAATTTTTTTTCTCTTTTTCTGCCTTCTTTTAAAAGGCAACGATTTTCCCCTCAGGAATTGGCGCGCGAACGAACAAAAAAACAACAAGAAAAAAAAAGCTGAGCGCGTGAGTCGCTACTGCGCCTGCCTGGCGAAAGAAAAAAGCGGGAAAGGACGAAGAGGAGGGGTTTGGGATAGGCTCGCACTGATTGGCCAGATGCAGTTTCCCTCTTCTGGGCGGAAGTAGCATGACTGGTGGACCCCGGAAGTTCTGGTTTTATGCCACGTTATTGCTGTCGAAATGACGCACGTACGCAGAAGACGCGTTGTTGTGATATAGTGGCGGGCACTTCATTATTTTTTAATCTGACTTCCGCGAGGAGATGATTATGCCCGCGAGTTGCCCGGTAACCCTTACAGCCAACTGCCTACCACGGCGAGGCGTCCGAGCGTCCGCCCAGGAACAAGATGGCCTCGGCGGCCACGTTTAACGTAATTTCCGGCTAGGATCGGAAATGCGAATGAAAGCCGGGAAGCGCCCGGATCAAGATGGCGGCGGGCCCCATCTCGGAACGGAACCAAGGTAACGGCGCCGGGCTCGGGGTGGCGCGGGGCGGCCGCTCCTCAGGCCCGCGCGAGACGCCTGGCGGAGTCGCGGGCTGGGCCCCAGGCACCATCCTCCGAAAGGGTCCGCAGGGGCGTGGGTCGGAGGGTGGGCTGGCGCCGCCACCTGACCGCCGTCTCGCCCCCCAGATGCCACCGTCTACGTGGGCGGCCTGGACGAGAAGGTCAGCGAGCCGCTCCTGTGGGAGCTCTTCCTCCAGGCGGGCCCCGTGGTCAACACCCACATGCCCAAAGACCGCGTCACGGGCCAGCACCAAGGTAAGCGGGCAGCGGGCGGCTTCTTGGGCAGCCCAGTGAGGCTTGCTTGGCCATGGGGCCATGCGCTGTTGGGGCAAGCGAGGGCACCGATGCACAGCGGAATCACCTGCCCTCTCCGGGTTGTGTCCTTTCAGGTTATGGCTTCGTGGAATTTCTCAGCGAGGAGGACGCGGACTACGCCATCAAGATCATGAACATGATCAAACTCTACGGGAAGCCCATCCGGGTCAATAAGGCCTCGGCCCACAACAAGAACCTGGATGTGGGTGCCAACATCTTCATTGGCAATCTGGATCCGGAGATTGATGAGAAGCTGCTGTATGACACATTTAGCGCCTTCGGGGTCATCCTGCAGACTCCAAAGATCATGCGTGACCCAGACACGGGAAACTCCAAGGGTTACGCCTTCATCAATTTTGCCAGCTTTGATGCATCAGATGCTGCCATAGAGGCGATGAACGGACAGTACCTCTGCAACCGCCCCATAACCGTCTCCTATGCCTTCAAGAAGGATTCTAAGGGGGAAAGGCATGGCTCAGCGGCTGAGCGCCTCCTCGCTGCGCAGAACCCCCTCTCCCAGGCCGACCGGCCACATCAACTCTTTGCAGATGCTCCACCCCCACCCTCGGTGCCCACGCCAGTGGTTACCACCTTGGGACCAGGGGTTACTCCTCCAGGTACACCAGTGCTGGGGCTGGTAGCTTCCGACAATTGTTTTTTCACGCCAGAAAAAAACAATTAAGAAAATCGTTTTTTCTTAATTTCTGAAAATGTTAACGAGTGATGCAACCAGGGGTTTGTTGGGTGCTTTCTCCAGTATTTCAGGGTGTTCTGTGATTTTCCATTATAGGCATCCCCCCGCCTGGATCATTTCCTCCACCAGTGCCCCCTCCGGGAGCTTTGCCACCAGGATTGCCTCCAGCTATGCCACCTCCACCCATGCCACCAGGGGCTGGTGCCCCAGGACCTCCTTCCACAGGAGCCCCCGGAGGGGCGCATCCTCCACACCCACATCCTTTCCCTCCTGGTGGGATGCATCCAGGTACGTTCTGTGATTTGGACAACTTTCTTCTTAGCAGAACACCGGCTCTGCCTTCGTCACTGTAAGGAATCTCAGTACTGGGGGCTGTGGGAGAGTTTGGGAACAGCGGGGTCCAGCTGTGGTCCCTGTAAACCAGCTGTACAATGTGAGTGAGGTCTTCCTGATACAAACTGCCAATCTATGTCTTTGGAACAATGTGAATGAGTGAATGAGAAATCCCTGCCTTTTTTTGCCTTCCTAGGGATGCCTCAAATGCAGGTCCATCATGGAATGCCCGGGATGGGCCCACATCACCCTGGACCCCCAGGGGCAGGGGGTCAGCCACCTCCACGCCCACCTCCAGGCATGCCCCATCCTGGGCCGCCCCCCATGGGTATGCCACCCAGGGGACCTCACTTTGGATCACCAATGGGTAAGTGGAAACCAAGGTCTGGGGTACTCTTTTTCTTCTCTTCTCTTCTGGCTTAGTGCCATAAAGCCCTAAGGGGTGTGAAGGAAAACGCAAGCAGTTTTTCTCAAATCCCCCCAACAATGCAATAGCTCTGACTCACTTTCTGCCTGAAGCAACTTACCCTCACAGCTTGATGTGACCTTGGGAATCTTCTATGTGCCATCTAATGCCCACATGTTTTCTTTCTTCAGGTCATCCTGGTCCCATGCCACCTCATGGGATGCGTGGACCGCCTCCCTTGATGCCACCCCATGGATACAATGGCCCCCCTCGCCCCCCTCCCTACAGCTACCAGCGCATCCCTCTGCCACCTCGTCCTGCTCAACGGCCCATGGTGCCTCCACGGGGACCTATGCGGGGGCCTCTCCCCCCCTAGGCCACAATAGGTCACCAGCCTGCCTGAAAAAACAGCCGCCTCCTGTGCATCTCCCTTTTTTTGTTTGGTTTTCTTTTTTTTTTTTTTTTTTTTCTTTTTTTTTGTTTTTTTGGGGGGGAGGGGGGGGAGACAAACATTCCAGCAAGCAGCATCTCCCTCTTTAGTGATGAAAAACATGGTCATGTCTTTGGCAGCATTGAGGGTTTGCACATCCTGATTATTACCTGTGTTCCCTTAAATTAAAGCTGGTTTTTCACTTTTCCCTTTTTTAATGATCCTGTTTGTGAAATCCAACTGAAAAACTGCTGTTTTGAAATAAAAAATGAGAAGGTTTTCTGTAATGACTTTGTCTGTGGTCCTGCTGCCCTCACAGAGTTTGGAAGGGGATCTGCTCCTTCCAGCAGGGAGGTAAGTGTATTGGATAGGGAGAGTCACTCAGCATCCAATTTAGTAGGACAGGTTGGGCTTTCCAAGTGTCAGACCCTTCCAGCTATAAGATTACTTTGCTGCTATTACCTTGTTGAATGTTGAACTTGGGGGAGGGGGTGTTGCTTGGTACCCGGATGTAAATGCCCTCCAGGCACAGTGGCCATGAGAGATTTCAAGAAAGGAGCTGAAATAAATAACTTTATTGTCATTGTACGTGTATACACAGTATACGCATACAACGAAATTCACTTAACACTCAAAGACCAGGTCCAACATACATAACAATCCCCAAACACACTCCCACCCACCACAATCCACCCCTAAACCACCCAAACATCCACACAACAGACCAAGTAATACTGTCCAACAGTTCACTGATGGTGGCCCTTTAGTTCATTGTTGAGTGCAATCATAGCTCTGGGATAAAAACTATTCAGAAAATGTGTGGTCCGAGTTTTAATTGTTCTGTATCTTCTGCCAGAAGGCAACAGTCCAAAAAGATTGTAAGCTGGATGGGAAGAGTCTCTGAGAATGTTATGCAACTTTCTCAAACAGCGAGATTCGAAGATGTCGTCCAGGGCTGATAGCTGGAGTCCGATGATATTCTGGGCAGTTTTAATGATTCTCTAGAGCTTTTTTGTCTGCTACAGAGCTGCTCCCATACCATGCAAGAATGCCGTATGTCAGGACACTCAATGGTGCTGCGATATTAGGACAGAAGTAGATGCTGAGATAGATTTATCTTCCTGAGCATTCTCAGGAAGTACAGCCTCTTCTGTGCCTTCTTCACAAGCATGTTAGCATTCATAGTCCATGAGAGGTCCTCCGAGATATAAATGCCTAGAAATTTAAAACTACCCACCCTCTCCACCTCCTCACCATTTATGTACAATGGTAGATATACATTTCTCTTCCTACTGAAGTCAATTATAATATTAGCTTTTATGGTGTTAAGTGTGAGATTATTTTCATTACACCACAATGCCAGCCCTTGTACTCCTTCCTGTAAGCAGACTCATTGTTCTTATTAATGAGTCCCACCACTGTTGTGGTCATCCACAAATTTAATAATTGCATTGGTGTTATACAATGGGGTGCAGTCGTGTATACAAGGAATAAAGAAAGGGGCTTAGCACATAACCCTGGGGGGCTCCTGTGCTTAGTATCAAAGTAGAGGAATGGTGAGATCCCATCCTTACTGACTGCGGCCTACCTGTCAGAAAATCCCTTATCCACAAACAAATCCTCTGATTTATACCCAAATTGGACATATTAAAAAACAACCTGTTGGGTAAAATGGTGTTAAAAGCAGAGCTATAATCCACAAATAACAGCCTCGCATATGTCCCCTGTTCCAAGTTATTCAATACAGTATGAACAACAAGAGACATACCATCGTCAGTTGATCTATTACCCCTATTTGCAAATTGGTATGGGCCAGGGTGATCATCACAAGCTTTATTATATGGATGAATATTTTAACAGTAAGTAGGTGCGCTACATTCTGCCATGGCAAGGGACTGGCTTGTAAACCTTTTACAGTTGTGCACAAAATAAGATGGGTGAGAAACCAGCGTATCAGTGAGATGCCATACCTGGGAATTCCTCTGTCTACACCTGGCATGCCACCTGCCTGCATTCCCAGAAAACAGCCTGTGCCTCTTGCTATTTTTTATAGTAAAAGTTCATGCAATGCTTAAACATGGTGTTAGTTTGGGCAGGAGTATATAGGGTTGTCTTTCCCTTTATGACCGCTGACTGTGGGAGGAGGGAACCTGTGCAAAACAACCCATTCTTACAACTAGATCCTGTGTGCCCCGGGTCAGTTTGCAGAGTGACATGCCCTCTGCAAGGAGCTTGAACCCAACCATAGGCCACCTTCCAGAAGGCCTTAACCAAGATGCCAAACTCAAGTCTGAATTTCTCCCCCACAGAGACAGATAAAGCTGTTGATACAAAAATAACAGGGATTGACCTAGTTGACAAGATGCAGAAGACC